AAAACCAAACCCAAAAAAAAAAAAAAGAGAGAGAGAGCAAAGTAATGATGGGGAACAGAATGGAGTGCAGACAGAATAAGAAAGGGACACAAGACAAAGAGACAGACACCTAACAGAGAAGGGGAAGAAAGGGATGGAAAACAGGCTACAAGGATGAAAGAAAAACAGGAACAAACTCTAGTACTTATTACATAATGTGGCTAAATAAAATGTAAACAGTCTACCAGCTTGAACAGAACTGCTCACCATAACAGCTTAGCCTGTGACTCATTAATTGAGCAGCTGCTTCTTGGCAGGGTATGCAGGGCTATAAAACCTATGACAAAACATGCAGGGAGACACATGCTTACAGGAGTAAGCTAAATGGATTATATGTACAAGATACTGCTGGGTCTCAATCCAAGCTTGTACAGTCAATTAATACTCTGACCTCTGAATTTCATTTCTGTAAATTCCACATTTCTCCATGCTCCTCCACTAAAAACACATAAACTCTATTATCTAGTGTTAGATATAGGGTTGTTTGAAGACATTGTAATGTTGTAGTTTAGGAAAAGAACCATGCACCCACTCACTCACTCTGGCACAAAAGGTAAAGATCATGGGCTAAGAACAATTTACCGGAAACAGCAATGACATAAGAAAACAAACAGCAACAATATTAATGACAAAAGTGTACAAGAAAGAGGAAAATGGTTCACATGTAAATGCTCACCAAAGAGCCTGACCTCACCCAACCAGAAGGAACCCCCGAACCCCTTCCCTGTTCTGGCCATGCCCCTCCTGGCTACTGCAAACATTAACCCTTGTCCTGGCGGGAAGCAGGACATGTGAACATAAGAGCCTTCTCTTTAGCAGGTTCTTTGGAAAACCTAAATTGACCTTGAAATTGAGCAAGGAGACTATGAGAAAACAAGAAACCTTTACCACAGGTTACTTCACAGACAGAGCATGCCAAGGTACATGTGGGCACCCGGGACACAGAACTGGTCTTGGATTTGGTCCTCAGTGAGAAAAACCCTTGACTGCCTTGCTTGTATGGCTTTTCCAGCTCAACAGTGAACAGTTCAGTCCTGTGCCATGAAGAGAGGAAAGACTTTTCTCCAAGTATCTTGGGTATTGTACAGCATTTTCACTACTCATGAATAAATGCATTTAAAGAGTTTTTACTATGACTGATCTCAGGTATTTTGGTTTGAAACAAAACCAAGAAAACAACCATACAGGAGGTAATTCCATTTTAATAGTCTCTGAATTTCCAATATTTGAAAGGAAAACTAATAGAGTAAGTGTGATAGTATACAGCCATTACCTATAGAAGCAGTGTTAGTCAGCTTCTCAACACTGCTTTTTGGTATTTCAAGGGAAAAACATTCAGCCTGAAATTTCTCATCCATAAGTTCTTGGAGGTTAAGAGGGACAGACCTGACACTTAGTAAGTTGCCTGAGAATCACAGCTTACAGTTACTCAATGTCTTCTGGCCTCACTGGATGAGGCAGAGGTATAACTGATTTCTTCTCTGTATCTCTGGAAAGAGCCTTCCTCATATCTGTGGCAAACAGAAAAAATGCTATTATAGTTACAGTGGTCATTGTACAAAGCCATATGAAGTGAATTCTCTACTAAAATAACATCATTTTTAATCAAGAAAATTTCCTAGAATCATAGAATACCTCAAGTTGGAAGGGACCCATAAGGATCCAACTCCCTGCTTCACACAGGACTACCTAGAACTAAACTATATGGTTAAGAGCACTGTCCAGACTCCTCCTGAACTCTGATGGGCTTGGTGTTGTGACCATTTCCCTGGAGAGCCTGTTATAGTTACCAACCACCCTCTCAGTGAAGAGCCTTTTCCTGACATCCAGCCTGAACCTTCCCTGACTCAGCTTCGCTCCATCTCCTCATGCCCTATCACTGGTCACCAGAGAGAGTGGTGTCCAGATGAGGAAGGTTTAGACTGTGATGGGGGCACAACCCAGCCTTTTCTTCTTCAAGAAGAACAAACTCATGGACATTAGCTGCTCCTCCTAAGTCCTGCCCTTGAGACCTTTCACCATCTTGGCTGCTCTCCTCTAGGCACACTCTAATAATGTAATGTTCTTAATGTTGTTCAGCAGCAATGTTATCAACTGAAATATAACTCTGCATGAAACTTGACTGAACAGGAAGGAAGTGGCAGGCTAAAGGGACAAATATGTGATTTAAGGCACCTGCAACAACACTAGATGGCTGTCAGCAGCCCTTATATTTCATAGTGATCCTACATATTGAATAATTAGTGCATGAATAGAAATGATACACAGCATGGCCACATAACCCTTTGGGAAGATACTTATCAGAAAAAGAGATCCAGAAAGAGGAGGTACTTTTGTTAACAGAATCAACATTAACATAGTTGAATTTCTACATTCCTTCCCTTTTACATTGAAAATGTCACCCAATTCTCTGCCACTGTGGGCCACTGACACTTGTAAATTTGTAGTTAGACATCTGAGAAAAAACAAGTTTCAAGTTCCAGTTATGGGAAGAAAGGAAGAAAGTACTTCCATTCCTTTTCATTTTTTTTCTTATTTTGTGGTTTATTTTGCCAGAGATGATACAAAATGTATAAACTGCTGGATTAGGTTTTGTAACTGATGTAATTTTCAGCAAGAAAAGTTATCTAAAGCAGGATATTCATCAACATTCATCAACAACTATCTGAAATTGTTTTACATAAAAAAAAAAAAATAGTCTTACAAACAAGCCCAGGAACCCTCACGTAAGAATCACTCCATTCAACTTGAGGCAGAATAAATACTACTTACCATAAGCATCTTCATCTGGCTCCCCACTGCTGGCAGAGTAGTACTCTAACACTGTCCGGTACACACTGTAGCCTAGTTGCTTATACATATTTACAGCAACCTGATTTGATACTCTCACAAAGAGATCGACAAAAAATCCACCCTTTCTTTAGGGGGGGGGAGGAAAAAACAAACAAATAAAGGAAAAACACATTAAGGAACAGTAGGTGAATGTATTTCTAAGTAACAACCTATGGGTAATAACTGTAATCATATCAAAGCAAGTCTGATGATGTAGTACACTAATCAAACACCTTTCACACTGTAATAACAGATGCACTCCTTTACCAAAGGAAAATTCAAGCACAGGCACAGATTTCATTTTATTTTTGTCACACAGCCTTTCTAGACTAGCCAGTGCATTCAGAAATCTGAACAGAAAGGACAAGCTAAACACCCACATAAACCTCAGATCCAAGTGACATAATTAAAAAAAAAAAAAAATCCACATTTTAGATTGCATTGGATTAGGAGGGGTGGAATAAGTCACAAAAATTCACTTGCCTAATGGGGGATAGCCCTTTACCTCACTAGGCAGATTTTTCAAAATATTGTACTATTTTCTGTTTTTACCAAGTGGAATTACCCTACCAGAATGAGTTAAGGACATTTCACTGTGGGCTGATTTGACAATATATTAACTTCATAGGTACAAGTAACCAAGAAGATGGAAAGTAAGCCCAAAAAAAAATTTTGTCAGTGGTACAAAATTTGTTCAAGATTGTGCCTGAATGCATTGCACAAAGCCCAGTTACTGAACAAGTATGTTGGAGGCCCTACTGCTGATGTTTCACAAAGCTCTTTTCCTGTCAAGAAAAGGGTCTTTTGTACAGTATCACTACTGGAATTCAGGCTATGTCCTACTCATTCTGGCTCAGAGATTGTAAACCGCTAAGCAACTTTCATAATTCTTGTTCTCCAACTATGAGGAATTTCAGAAAATCAGAACACTGCTTACAGCAAAATTCTGTGTCCGTTTCATGCACATCAATCTGAGCCAGAGACAGGTGTCTGTAGAAATACTACTTTTAAAGATAAGTTTAAAGATAGGCATATCACTCACTTTTCTGAAATTTCTTCCAGTAGCTCCATCAGTTTAGCAGCCAAACCCAGCCGTCGAAATTCTGGTGCAACAGAGAGAGCGGTAACATGTCCATGCCATTCTTCCCTAGCCACGGAGCCCTCGGCTTTCCCCATGACTGTGAACACACAGAGCATCAGCACCTTTGGAGTAACGAACCGCCTGCAACCACACAACTTCACAAGAGGAGTAAGACATGTATAAACAAACATTGCAATGGCTGTGGTAAAGGCCCAAACAGGGATGTCTACCTTATCACTCTATGATTCAGCAACTATGGGGAATGTCATTTTGCACAAGTATTACAGCAATTCCTTGACCAGCGTAAATAAAAATAACTTCGCAAATTCCTTGCT